TAAATGGTAGTTTTAAATGCTTTTGCCTTTTTACTTCTGATGCTAACTGATGTGAGTCCCATGGTCCCCTGAAGTGGCTGCAATTCGGTATTGCATTTCGCGGGTGCGGGGCGGGAGCGGGTCTTGACAATCAGACCTGTGCAGGACTCTGAGGGTAGGTAATAATGGAGAAACCAGCTTGAGTGCGCTAGAATTTGAAAGTACGCAGCCGAAAGAAATCTGCCCCTTCCTTCAGACTTCCTTACAGAGCCCCTCCTCCAACACACACAAACGCGCACATGACCAATGAGGGCACGAGATAAGTTTGTGCACGAGATGGAAGGCTGACAGGCAGGTAGGCCATCCAGTTGATTGTTCGTGCTTTTTGCAGCACCACGGCTTCCACAGATGAAATATTTGTATGTATTTATTGTCAAAGCATTTAATGTATTAATTGCTATCGGGATGTTAAGAGCATTCCATGGAATATAACAACAAGTGTTTCTGAAGTGAATTACCTACCTTTAAGGCTGGTGCCCCACGGGAACGCATACGGCAAAATGCATAGGATTAACGCAATCGCAATCGCAAAAAAGCTTCCGTCCACACGCAATATACACCGGATAGTGTCTGTTCACACGAGACAGCTCCGTTTAGCTCCAACCGCTGGAAAAAGCTGCAGTACATATGCCGAGCCTGTACGTGGCGCTGTAACTTCCTCCACAAAAAGCAGCGAAGAAGCATGGTTGTCATGGTTGCGCTTCTGTTTATTCACCGTGGTGGGGGCCGAGGGAACCGGGCAGAGTTTTTCGCCGGTCAACGTGTGGAAAAGTTTAAATCTTCCGGACAAAATTATAAAAGTGCCGGTCAAAGGTCTTCTTTGTTATTTATTAAGCTTTAAAACAAATGAATAACGACTATATATAATGATATATAATAATAAAATACACGGAGCCTGTCCTCTCTTTTTACTTTCTTCTGTCAGCGTCAGTGTCTGTCTCATGCAGCAGCTGATCCAGTAATGAGTGACCCGGCCGACAGTAAAAAATAAACATATTTATAACTAGTTTAGGTAGTTTGAGAGGTAGGCTAATTAAAATAGCTAAGGGTGATGATCTGACTTGAAGTGTGTGTTTTGCTCCAGCTGCATCACAGCGGGAGGAGCTGCGTGTCTCCGTCCTGTCAGATTAGACTTCACTCGCGTTTATGTCCATATCGAGATAAAGATAAATAATCTGAATTCAGTGTGCAGTGTACTTTTGCGGGGGTGAGCAGCAGAGGTGGGGAGAGGCGGGGCTATTGCGTCATCATTATCACAAAATGATCGTATAGAGGCGATCACACGGAGCCGTTGGACCCCCCAGAGCGCTCCCTTCCCAGATCTATCCACCTTTGGACCCGTTGTCGTTTGCAGGGTCCATTTCTATCGTTTCGTTACGGCCCCGTGTGGCAAAAAGGGCTATAAGCAAGAGAAATATGCGGATACAACCCGTTTTCGTTCCCGTGGGGCCGGGGCCTAAGTGGGTATGACACATTAATAGGTTGTTAAATGTTAAGAAGCCCTGAGACACAGTTTTGTGTCTTCGCCGGTGGGGGCTATGGGGCTTTACAGGTTTTAATGAGCTGGACATATGAAGTACAGCCTGCTTAATTTAGAAGTCCTTAATGTTGCTCATATCTCTTATCAGGGGTCTCTGGGTGGGCGCAGGAAGTGACAGGAAGTTATGTTAGAACAGAAACAATGAGTGGGATTCTTATATACTAAGGCAACGCACTTTAAATAGAAAACAAGTTGCCAATTTATTAGACTTCCGACAGAAGAAAGTGAGAGTCTCAATTTTCCCAAAATCTCACAATCATAATTAATGTTTGAGTTGACGGCTGAAGTATAAGCTTAAAGTGGAAAGCTGAAATCATCAAGACACCTACATGTTTTGGTTTTGCCAAATAACATAATTTGTGTAGCAAGAAATTCCACCACTTTCTTGAATCCACTTTCTATTAAGAGCATTAATAAAGAATTGTTCTTATATTTTCAATTTTTAAAATAATTTATCTGATTATAATGCGCTAAGGTTAAATAGGCTAATGCCTGACCCGACATCTTTTAATGTGATTTCTTGATTGTTTTTGAGTCTTGAGTGTTATTATGGAGGAAGGAACCGGGTTGTTATCAGCAGCAAACGCAGACTACTGGGAATGAAAGGGAATCAGAGAGTGGCAGGCAGGCTGCCTTTAGGGTTGATGTAATGTTTATATAGTGGTCAGTACAGCCATTTCCTCCTCCTCCCCATGCAGACAGGCCCAGTCAAAGGGCAAAGATACAGTACACAGGGCAAAAGGGTCATTGGCTGAGTCGAAGCCAAGAGCGTTTTCACAATGAAAATAAAGAAGTGCTCCTCAAGTGGGAGTATTGTTTTAGAAGAAGTAACGCTGGAGATCTTATTTAATTTGAGATGTTCCACTGCATGTTCTAACATGACAAATTATTATTTGTATTTATTGGCTTCCATATAATAATAAGTGAATATTCCTTTTGATTATACGTACGCATTTGCCCAGTAATTAAGTGATTCTAAGATCCTGATTTAAGAGATAGACTGAGTGTTACAGCATGTACAGATGGGTGGAGCTGAGTCCCAGTAGATATGCATACAAGAAAAGATGTCCATTATGTCAACTTAAGTATTTCGAGGGCAGTATATCCCAAATGGGAATTTGGGTTTGAGCTATTTCTGCTCTCTGAGTCAGTGCCAAGGCATAATGGCTTGAGAAGTTGTTTTGTTTATTTAGTAAGGAGGAAAATAAGTGATACTTAGGAACAGCGCCAAGGGAAATAAAGCATTTGGGAATCATAGTTCAGAGAATTTACACCCTCCGAGGTCCGTTTAAAAAGAACATTTGTATGAAAACATGAGATTCATGCATAGATCGAAAAAGTTTATTTTTTCTGACAGTGAGCTGTTTTATACTGCATCTGGAGCCAGAAACAGTTAAAGTTCTATCGTTGAATTTATGTAATGTTTACAGTAAGTTCGTCGTCCCATTAAATAAAAATGTATTTCACTACACAAACTACATTTTTTGTAGTGCTTTATAAATAAATAGTACTGTAGGCCTACATGTTTCTGTTGTTGAGGTTCAGATTTTAACCACAGCAGCAGTGGCGGAAATAAATGCACCACAAGGTCATTTTAGTTATTCTGAAGCTTTTGATTATATCACATGATCTTTATCAGCAGATATAGTTTGCCCAGTTCAGTTGTAATTTTTGTTATTTTCCACTACATTTTTTCTGAGCACTTTAAGGACTTTTTATCCATGTTGACGCAAAATTAAACATATCAAGTGGCTTAGCCAAACCAAATAGAAAACAATGGGTAATTAAGATGAACATACAAAAAGACACTGACAAAAACCAAATCCCCTATTTTAAATGGAAGCATGTGGTTTTTCGCAATGTTGCCTTATTGGCTGCTTGCTGTAATTGTAAAGATATTCCGACATTATCAGGAGTTAATGATTGAGGTTTATCTTTGTAGTTGAGAGAATGATGAAGGTTTGAGCAATGATGCAATGTGTTTAATGTTTAGCTGTGCGGTAAACAAACTGAAAGGCTACATGTCAGCGAGTCACTCTGGGCTGATGAGGTTTTGGCTAATAAGTAATGTAGAATCAGAGCTGTGTGTTTAGTCCTGATACCAGGACACAGGAAATAACCATGGTAGAAATACAGAGTTTGAGTTTTGTGGCCAAGAATGTGTACAGGTGTGTGTGTGTGTGTGTGTGTGTGTGTGTGTGTGTGTGTGTGTGTGTGTGTGTGTGTGTGTGTGTGTGTGTGTGTGTGTGTGTGTGTGTGTGTGTGTGTGTGTGTGTGTGTGTGTGTGTGTGTGTGTGTGTGTGTGTGTGTGTGTGTATGTGTGTGTGTGTGTGTCTGTGTCTGTGTCTGTGTCTGTGTGCATGATATTGTTGTTTGCTGTCAACACTTGTAGTTGTTTCAGAGCAATAGGGATGAGGAAGAACAGTGTGTCGACAACACTTCCCCAAATGTAACGTCTGAGAGAAGAGAATAATAACCGACGGTTGAATATGACCAGGTTCTCTTGTTCGTTCCAACTGATACAAAACCACAGTCTGTCATTAGTTATGTAAGACACTATCCCATAAAACGGAGCTTGTGTGTTTAAAGAATAACTCTTTTGATTTTTTTGTTTGTTTTCCTCTTCCTTTCTTGTTTGTATTTAGATTCGATATACATTCAATTGACTACTTTTGGATCTCACGCTATATTTTAATATCAGTGCAATGAGTGCATATATGATTAGTTTAGGAAATATAAGCACGTTTGATCCTTTACACAGGATTTAAATCAATAACTTTTTGATCAACACTTCTTGATAATCAATACTATATGACCAAAAGGTATTGAAATTAAATACCCAGCAATATTTATCCATTATAATTTAATTAAGGGCATAGTAGGAACGTCTTCGAAACAGCATTTAGACCTTCATCTTGAAAAATAAAAGTTCGATAAAGTTGAATAAAATAGTGCAGGTTATGTTGCTAGACCAGTCTACAAGTATTGCCGTTGAAGTTAACTATATTAGTGAAATACTAAATAAATACTGTTTGATCCAGTGATAACTATTAAGATAATAAATTAAATAAATCTAAAATGCAACCAGATGAATGCTTTGGGTTCTGGAGGCACTTAACAGAGCTCAGGCGTTATGCAGTCTTATTGCCTGGGGGATGAAACGGTCCCTGAGTCTTGGTTCTGATGCTGCGGTACCGCCTGCCGCAGCAGACGTTTTACTGGTAGGACTGACAAAAGGCTGTTTTAAGAAACCATGTAAACATTACCTGGTTTGCAGTGCTATTTGTTGTTGCTAAATTTACTGATTTACTGTGACATTGACTGGGTGGTTGGGTTTCTAATTGATCGTTTGAAGCTGTGTTAACTCAATGCTGACCTCTGCTGGTGCAAGATATTTTACTCTGCTTCTCTCTCTCCACAGGTCTCTACAGAAGAATGTAAGTATCCGTGTGCTTTTTCTACAAAATATAAGTTATCACACATGTGTTAAGAACATCATTCCTGAATGTAACTTTTTTGTTGCAGAATGATGTTTGTCAAATCAAATGTCAAAAACAAAGATGATAACAGTGTTTTAAAATTGTAATAGTGTAACATTAATTATTTTCCCCACCGACTTCTCTCTCACTCACAGGGCCTAAAGTAGTCAGGAATCTCTCTGTCACTGAAATCACAACATCCTCTATATCTGTGATGTGGAATGAACCAGTGGGGAACAGCTCTTCCTATAGAGTACAGTGGAGTGATGGAAATGTAACTAAAAGTCACAAAGTGAATCAAACACAAATAAACATTACTGACCTGACTGCTGGTGTCCAGTATGATATAAATCTCACTGCAGTGCCAGATGATGGCAGTACTGAAGGACAGAGTACCACTGTTTCTCAGTACACAAGTAAGTAAACATTAACTGTGTTTCATGAAGTCAGATAGAGACAGTGTGCTGAAGACATCTGTTGTTGGAGACTGTCTGCAGTGATCACAAGCAGGATGATACTTGTGAATATAGAATAGAAGTTGTTGCCTAATATGCTCTTTGTCCTTAGACTGATGTTGATCCTCAGGCACAACACAATTACACCAAGTGCTAAAGGTTTTACTCATATAGTATTGACCTCTCCTCTCCTTTTTACTTAAGAACCTGGTACAATTGGGGGTCCTACTGACTCAACAAGCACCTCCTCCATCTCTCTGAACTGGACCCCACCTCCTGGTGAGGTGCTCCTGTACAGGGTGGAGTGGAATCATGGTGGAGCGAAGACGATCAGAGACACCAACAACACATTTGCTGTGCTATCAGACCTGATCCCTGGCACTAGCTACAACATCTTAATCTTTGCTGTTGCTGGAGACAATCAGACAACAGGAGATCCTTACCAACTCACCATAGTCACAAGTAAGCACAAGTCCTTTTTTACTTCATAGCTTTGTGTATCTTTTTGGATAAGCAACTGTGCTTTCCTGTCATGAAACACACTCTGGTGTAGTCTTTGTTCTTGTCACTATCAGTATTTTTGTAATTCCCTGGCTCTAAATATTCTTCCTTCCTCACCTTGTATTTATCCTGCGCTCACAGAGCCTGAAGTAGTCAGGAATCTCTCTGTCACTGAAATCACAACATCCTCTATATCTGTGATGTGGAATAAACCAGAGGGGAACAGCTCTTTCTATAGAGTACATTGGAGTGATGGAAATATCCCTAAAAGTGACAACGTGACTGAAACAAATATAATAATTTCGAACCTGACTGCTGGTGTCCAGTATGATGTAAATGTCACTGCAGTGGCAGGTGATGGCAGTACTGAAGGACAGAGTACCACTGTTTCTCAGTACACAAGTAAGTAAACATTAACTGTGGTTCATGAAGTCAGATAGAGAGAGTCTGCTGAAGACATCTGTTGTTGAAGACTGTCTGCAGTGATCACAAGCAGGATGATACTTGTGAATATAGAATAGAAGTTGTTGCCTAATATGCTGTTCGTCCTTAGACTGATGTTGATCCTCAGGCACAACACGACTACACCAAGTGCTAAAGGTTTTACTCAAAGAGTATTGTCCTCTCCTCTCCTTTTTACTTTTTAACACAAGTTGTATTGGACTTGATAGCTTTTATAGCTTTTTGGTTAAGCAACTGTGCTTTCCTGTCAGGAAACACACTCGGTGTAGTTTTGTTTCTTGCCATTCACTTGTTTTTTAATTCCCTGGCTCTTAATATTCTTCCTTCCTCACCTTGTATTTATCCTGTGCTCACAGGGCCTAAAGTAGTCAGAAATCTCTCTGTCACTGAAATCACAACATCCTCTATATCTGTGATGTGGAATAAACCAGAGGGGAACAGCTCTTCCTATAGAGTACAGTGGAGTGATGGAAATGTAAATAAAAGTGACAAAGTGACTGAAACAAATATTACCATTACTGACCTGACTGCTGGTGTCCAGTATGATATAAATGTCACTGCAGTGGCAGGTGATGGCAGTACTGAAGGACAGAGTGCCACTGTTTCTCAGTACACAAGTAAGTAAACATTAACTGTGGTTCATGAAGTCAGATAGAGACAGTGTGCTGAAGACATCTGTTGTTGAAGACTGTCTGCAGTGATCACAAGCAGGATGATACTTGTGAATATAGAAGTTGTTGCCTAATATGCTCTTTGTCCTTAGACTGATGTTGATCCTCAGGCACAACACGATTACACCAAGTGCTAAAGGTTTTACTCATAGAGTATTGACCTCTCCTCTCCTTTTTACTTAAGAACCTGGTACAATTGGGGGTCCTACTGACTCAACAAGCACCTCCTCCATCTCTCTGAACTGGACCCCACCTCCTGGTGAGGTGCTCCTGTACAGGGTGGAGTGGGATCATGGTGGAGCGAAGACGATCAGAGACACCAACAACACATTTGCTGTGCTATCAGACCTGATCCCTGGCACAAGCTACAACATCTTAATCTTTGCTGTTGCTGGAGACAATCAGACAACAGGAGATCCTTACCAACTCACCATAGTCACAAGTAAGCACAAGTCCTTTTTGACTTCATAGCTTTGTGTATCTTTTTGGATAAGCAACTGTGCTTTCCTGTCATGAAACACACTCGGGTGTAGTCTTTGTTCTTGCCACTATCAGTATTTTTGTAATTCCCTGGCTCTAAATATTCTTCCTTCCTCACCTTGTATTTATCCTGCGCTCACAGGGCCTAAAGTAGTCAGGAATCTCTCTGTCACTGAAATCACAACATCCTCTATATCTGTGATGTGGAATAAACCAGAGGGGAACAGCTCTTCCTATAGAGTACAGTGGAGTGATGGAGATGTAACTAAAAGTCACAAAGTGAATCAAACACAAATAAACATTACTGACCTGACTGCTGGTGTCCAGTATGATATAAATGTCACTGCAGTGGCAGGTGATGGCAGTACTGAAGGACAGAGTACCACTGTTTCCCAGTACACAAGTAAGTAAACATTAACTGTGTTTCATGAAGTCAGATAGAGACAGTGTGCTGAAGACATCTGTTGTTGGAGACTCTGCAATGATCACAAGCAGAATGATACTTGTGAATATAGAAGTTGTTGCCTAATTTGCTGTTCGTCCTTAGACTGATGTTGATCCTCAGGCACAACACGATTACACCAAGTGCTAAAGGTTTTACTCATAGAGTATTGACCTCTCATCTCCTTTTTACTTAAGAACCTGGTACAATTGGGGGTCCTACTGACTCAACAAGCACCTCCTCCATCTCTCTGAACTGGACCCCACCTCCTGGTGAGGTGCTCCTGTACAGGGTGGAGTGGAATCATGGTGGAGCGAAGACGATCAGAGACACCAACAACACATTTGCTGTGCTATCAGACCTGATCCCTGGCACTAGCTACAACATCTTAATCTTTGCTGTTGCTGGAGACAATCAGACAACAGGAGATCCTTACCAACTCACCATAGTCACAAGTAAACACAAGTCCTTTTTGACTTCATAGCTTTGTGTATCTTTTTGGATAAGCAACTGTGCTTTCCTGTCATGAAACACACTCGGGTGTAGTCTTTGTTCTTGTCACTATCAGTATTTTTGTAATTCCCTGGCTCTAAATATTCTTCCTTCCTCACCTTGTATTTATCCTGCGCTCACAGAGCCTGAAGTAGTCAGGAATCTCTCTGTCACTGAAATCACAACATCCTCTATATCTGTGATGTGGAATAAACCAGAGGGGAACAGCTCTTTCTATAGAGTACATTGGAGTGATGGAGATGTAACTAAAAGTGAAAACTTGTTGGAAACTAATATTACCATTACTGACCTGACTGCTGGTGTCCAGTATGATATAAATGTTACTGCAGTGGCAGGTGATGGCAGTACTGAAGGACAGAGTGCCACTGTTTCTCAGTACACAAGTAAGTAAACATTAACTGTGGTTCATGAAGTCAGATAGAGAGAGTGTGCTGAAGACATCTGTTGCTGAAGACTGTCTGCAGTGATCACAAGCAGGATGATACTTGTGAATATAGAATATAAGTTGTTCCCTAATTTGCTGTTCGTCCTTAGACTGATGTTGATCCTAAGGCACAACACGACTACACCAAGTGCTAAAGGTTTTACTCAAAGAGTATTGACCTCTCCTCTCCTTTTCCCTTTTTAACACAAGTGTTATTGCACTTAATAGCTTTGTGTAGCTTTTTGGTTAAGCAACTGTGGTCTCGTGTCATGAAACACACTCTGGTGTAGTTTTTGTTCTTGCCACTCTCAGTAGTCTTTTACTCCCTGGCTCTTAATATTCTTCCTTCCTCACCTTGTATTTATCCTGTGCTCACAGAGCCTCAAGTAGTCAGGAATCTCTCTGTCACTGAAATCACAACATCCTCTATATCTGTGATGTGGAATAAACCAGAGGTGAACAGCTCTTCCTATAGAGTACAGTGGAGTGATGGAAATGTAACTAAAAGTGACAAAGTGAATCAAACAAATATTACCATTACTGACCTGACTGCTGGTGTCCAGTATGCTATAAATGTCACTGCAGTGGCAGGTGATGGCAGTACTGAAGGACAGAGTGCCACTGTTTCTCAGTACACAAGTAAGTAAATATTAACTGTGGTACATGAAGTCCGATAGAGAGAGTGTGCTGAAGACATCTGTTGTTGAAGACTGTCTGCAGTGATCACAAGCAGGATGATACTTGTGAATATAGAAGTTGTTGCCTAATATGCTCTTTGTCCTTAGACTGATGTTGATCCTCAGGCACAACACGATTACACCAAGTGCTAAAGGTTTTACTCATAGAGTATTGACCTCTCCTCTCCTTTTTACTTAAGAACCTGGTACAATTGGGGGTCCTACTGACTCAACAAGCACCTCCTCCATCTCTCTGAACTGGACCCCACCTCCTGGTGAGGTGCTCCTGTACAGGGTGGAGTGGGATCATGGTGGAGCGAAGACGATCAGAGACACCAACAACACATTTGCTGTGCTATCAGACCTGATCCCTGGCACTAGCTACAACATCTTAATCTTTGCTGTTGCTGGAGACAATCAGACAACAGGAGATCCTTACCAACTCACCATAGTCACAAGTAAACACAAGTCCTTTTTGACTTCATAGCTTTGTGTATCTTTTTGGATAAGCAACTGTGCTTTCCTGTCATGAAACACACTCGGGTGTAGTCTTTGTTCTTGCCACTATCAGTATTTTTGTAATTCCCTGGCTCTAAATATTCTTCCTTCCTCACCTTGTATTTATCCTGCGCTCACAGAGCCTAAAGTAGTCAGGAATCTCTCTGTCACTGAAATCACAACATCCTCTATATCTGTGATGTGGAATAAACCAGAGGGGAACAGCTCTTCCTATAGAGTACAGTGGAGTGATGGAGATGTAACTAAAAGTCACAAAGTGAATCAAACACAAATAAACATTACTGACCTGACTGCTGGTGTCCAGTATGATATAAATGTCACTGCAGTGGCAGGTGATGGCAGTACTGAAGGACAGAGTACCACTGTTTCCCAGTACACAAGTAAGTAAACATTAACTGTGTTTCATGAAGTCAGATAGAGACAGTGTGCTGAAGACATCTGTTGTTGGAGACTCTGCAGTGATCACAAGCAGGATGATACTTGTGAATATAGAAGTTGTTGCCTAATTTGCTGTTCGTCCTTAGACTGATGTTGATCCTCAGGCACAACACGATTACACCAAGTGCTAAAGGTTTTACTCATAGAGTATTGACCTCTCATCTCCTTTTTACTTAAGAACCTGGTACAATTGGGGGTCCTACTGACTCAACAAGCACCTCCTCCATCTCTCTGAACTGGACCCCACCTCCTGGTGAGGTGCTCCTGTACAGGGTGGAGTGGAATCATGGTGGAGCAAAGACGATCAGAGACACCAACAACACATTTGCTGTGCTATCAGACCTGATCCCTGGCACAAGCTACAACATCTTAATCTTTGCTGTTGCTGGAGACAATCAGACAACAGGAGATCCTTACCAACTCACCATAGTCACAAGTAAACACAAGTCCTTTTTGACTTCATAGCTTTGTGTATCTTTTTGGATAAGCAACTGTGCTTTCCTGTCATGAAACACACTCGGGTGTAGTCTTTGTTCTTGTCACTATCAGTATTTTTGTAATTCCCTGGCTCTAAATATTCTTCCTTCCTCACCTTGTATTTATCCTGCGCTCACAGAGCCTGAAGTAGTCAGGAATCTCTCTGTCACTGAAATCACAACATCCTCTATATCTGTGATGTGGAATAAACCAGAGGGGAACAGCTCTTCCTATAGAGTACAGTGGAGTGATGGAGATGTAACTAAAAGTCACAAAGTGAATCAAACACAAATAAACATTACTGACCTGACTGCTGGTGTCCAGTATGATATAAATGTCACTGCAGTGGCAGGTGATGGCAGTACTGAAGGACAGAGTACCACTGTTTCCCAGTACACAAGTAAGTAAACATTAACTGTGTTTCATGAAGTCAGATAGAGACAGTGTGCTGAAGACATCTGTTGTTGGAGACTCTGCAGTGATCACAAGCAGGATGATACTTGTGAATATAGAAGTTGTTGCCTAATTTGCTGTTCGTCCTTAGACTGATGTTGATCCTCAGGCACAACACGATTACACCAAGTGCTAAAGGTTTTACTCATAGAGTATTGACCTCTCATCTCCTTTTTACTTAAGAACCTGGTACAATTGGGGGTCCTACTGACTCAACAAGCACCTCCTCCATCTCTCTGAACTGGACCCCACCTCCTGGTGAGGTGCTCCTGTACAGGGTGGAGTGGAATCATGGTGGAGCAAAGACGATCAGAGACACCAACAACACATTTGCTGTGCTATCAGACCTGATCCCTGGCACTAGCTACAACATCTTAATCTTTGCTGTTGCTGGAGACAATCAGACAACAGGAGATCCTTACCAACTCACCATAGTCACAAGTAAACACAAGTCCTTTTTGACTTCATAGCTTTGTGTATCTTTTTGGATAAGCAACTGTGCTTTCCTGTCATGAAACACACTCGGGTGTAGTCTTTGTTCTTGTCACTATCAGTATTTTTGTAATTCCCTGGCTCTAAATATTCTTCCTTCCTCACCTTGTATTTATCCTGCGCTCACAGAGCCTGAAGTAGTCAGGAATCTCTCTGTCACTGAAATCACAACATCCTCTATATCTGTGATGTGGAATAAACCAGAGGGGAACAGCTCTTTCTATAGAGTACATTGGAGTGATGGAGATGTAACTAAAAGTGAAAACTTGTTGGAAACTAATATTACCATTACTGACCTGACTGCTGGTGTCCAGTATGATATAAATGTTACTGCAGTGGCAGGTGATGGCAGTACTGAAGGACAGAGTGCCACTGTTTCTCAGTACACAAGTAAGTAAACATTAACTGTGGTTCATGAAGTCAGATAGAGAGAGTGTGCTGAAGACATCTGTTGCTGAAGACTGTCTGCAGTGATCACAAGCAGGATGATACTTGTGAATATAGAATATAAGTTGTTCCCTAATTTGCTGTTCGTCCTTAGACTGATGTTGATCCTAAGGCACAACACGACTACACCAAGTGCTAAAGGTTTTACTCAAAGAGTATTGACCTCTCCTCTCCTTTTCCCTTTTTAACACAAGTGTTATTGCACTTAATAGCTTTGTGTAGCTTTTTGGTTAAGCAACTGTGGTCTCGTGTCATGAAACACACTCTGGTGTAGTTTTTGTTCTTGCCACTCTCAGTAGTCTTTTACTCCCTGGCTCTTAATATTCTTCCTTCCTCACCTTGTATTTATCCTGCGCTCACAGAGCCTCAAGTAGTCAGGAATCTCTCTGTCACTGAAATCACAACATCCTCTATATCTGTGATGTGGAATAAACCAGAGGGGAACAGCTCTTCCTATAGAGTACAGTGGAGTGATGGAAATGTAACTAAAAGTGACAAAGTGACTGAAACAAATATTACCATTACTGACCTGACTGCTGGTGTCCAGTATGATATAAATGTCACTGCAGTGGCAGGTGATGGCAGTACTGAAGGACAGAGTGCCACTGTTTCTCAGTACACAAGTAAGTAAATATTAACTGTGGTACATGAAGTCCGATAGAGAGAGTGTGCTGAAGACATCTGTTGTTGAAGACTGTCTGCAGTGATCACAAGCAGGATGATACTTGTGAATATAGAAGTTGTTGCCTAATATGCTCTTTGTCCTTAGACTGATGTTGATCCTCAGGCACAACACGATTACACCAAGTGCTAAAGGTTTTACTCATAGAGTATTGACCTCTCCTCTCCTTTTTACTTAAGAACCTGGTACAATTGAGGGTCCTACTGACTCAACAAGCACCTCCTCCATCTCTCTGAACTGGACCCCACCTCCTGGTGAGGTGCTCCTGTACAGGGTGGAGTGGGATCATGGTGGAGCGAAGACGATCAGAGACACCAACAACACATTTGCTGTGCTATCAGACCTGATCCCTGGCACTAGCTACAACATCTTAATCTTTGCTGTTGCTGGAGACAATCAGACAACAGGAGATCCTTACCAACTCAACATAGTCACAAGTAAACACAAGTCCTTTTTGACTTCATAGCTTTGTGTATCTTTTTGGATAAGCAACTGTGCTTTCCTGTCATGAAACACACTCGGGTGTAGTCTTTGTTCTTGCCACTATCAGTATTTTTGTAATTCCCTGGCTCTAAATATTCTTCCTTCCTCACCTTGTATTTATCCTGCGCTCACAGGGCCTGAAGTAGTCAGGAATCTCTCTGTCACTGAAATCACAACATCCTCTATATCTGTGATGTGGAATAAACCAGAGGGGAACAGCTCTTCCTATAGAGTACAGTGGAGTGATGGAGATGTAACTAAAAGTCACAAAGTGAATCAAACACAAATAAACATTACTGACCTGACTGCTGGTGTCCAGTATGATATAAATGTCACTGCAGTGGCAGGTGATGGCAGTACTGAAGGACAGAGTACCACTGTTTCCCAGTACACAAGTAAGTAAACATTAACTGTGGTTCATGAAGTCCGATAGAGAGAGTGTGCTGAAGACATCTGTTGTTGGAGACTCTGCAGTGATCACAAGCAGGATGATACTTGTGAATATAGAAGTTGTTGCCTAATTTGCTGTTCGTCCTTAGACTGATGTTGATCCTCAGGCACAACACGATTACACCAAGTGCTAAAGGTTTTACTCATAGAGTATTGACCTCTCATCTCCTTTTTACTTAAGAACCTGGTACAATTGGGGGTCCTACTGACTCAACAAGCACCTCCTCCATCTCTCTGAACTGGACCCCACCTCCTGGTGAGGTGCTCCTGTACAGGGTGGAGTGGAATCATGGTGGAGCAAAGACGATCAGAGACACCAACAACACATTTGCTGTGCTATCAGACCTGATCCCTGGCACTAGCTACAACATCTTAATCTTTGCTGTTGCTGGAGACAATCAGACAACAGGAGATCCTTACCAACTCACCATAGTCACAAGTAAACACAAGTCCTTTTTGACTTCATAGCTTTGTGTATCTTTTTGGATAAGCTACTGTGCTTTCCTGTCATGACACACACTCGGGTGTAGTCTTTGTTCTTGTCACTATCAGTATTTTTGTAATTCCCTGGCTCTAAATATTCTTCCTTCCTCACCTTGTATTTATCCTGCGCTCACAGAGCCTGAAGTAGTCAGGAATCTCTCTGTCACTGAAATCACAACCTCCTCTATATCTGTGATGTGGAATAAACCAGAGGGGAACAGCTCTTCCTATAGAGTACATTGGAGTGATGGAGATGTAACTAAAAGTGAAAACTTGTTGGAAACTAATATTACCATTACTGACCTGACTGCTGGTGTCCAGTATGATATAAATGTTACTGCAGTGGCAGGTGATGGCAGTACTGAAGGACAGAGTGCCACTGTTTCTCAGTACACAAGTAAGTAAACATTAACTGTGGTTCATGAAGTCAGATAGAGAGAGTCTGCTGAAGACATCTGTTGCTGAAGACTGTCTGCAGTGATCACAAGCAGGATGATACTTGTGAATATAGAATATAAGTTGTTCCCTAATTTGCTGTTCGTCCTTAGACTGATGTTGATCCTAAGGCACAACACGACTACACCAAGTGCTAAAGGTTTTACTCAAAGAGTATTGACCTCTCCTCTCCTTTTCCCTTTTTAACACAAGTGTTATTGCACTTAATAGCTTTGTGTAGCTTTTTGGCTAAGCAACTGTGGTCTCGTGTCATGAAACACACTCTGGTGTAGTTTTTGTTCTTGCCACTCTCAGTAGTCTTTTACTCCCTGGCTCTTAATATTCTTCCTTCCTCACCTTGTATTTATCCTGCTCTCACAGAGCCTGAAGTAGTCAGGAATCTCTCTGTCACTGAAATCACAACATCCTCTATATCTGTGATGTGGAATAAACCAGAGGGGAACAGCTCTTCCTATAGAGTACATTGGAGTGATGGAAATGTAACTAAAAGTGACAAAGTGAATCAAACACAAATAAACATTACTGACCTGACTGCTGGTGTCCAGTATGATATAAATGTCACTGCAGTGGCAGGTGATGGCAGTACTGAAGGACAGAGTACCACTGTTTCCCAGTACACAAGTAAGTAAACATTAACTGTGGTTCATGAAGTCAGATAGAGAGAGTCTGCTGAAGACATCTGTTGCTGAAGACTGTCTGCAGTAGGGATGTGCATCTCCATCACTGAGGCCGATGCGTTGCGCATCTCGATACGTTGCCAACGATACGATACATTAACGATACATTTGAAACACCAGGCGATGCGATACGATACGATTCACCCCTGTTGCGATACAGTTCGATACGATTTGATTCAACATTATGCGATTCGGGGCGATACGATGCGATTCAACACGATGCAAAATAATGATACTTCAATATGGTACGACAGAGGATATTTGTTTTATTCCTTATATGCAGCAAATCATAAATTAACAAAAAAGTGCTTTACATATTTGGTTCTCTCTACTAGTACTGCGCATTCCATCATGCTGTTTCTTTTTTACCTTAAAACACTCTCCAGAGTACAGTACAATTGTATAACACCTCACAGTTAAACAATTTAAGGATGCATTGCCCATGATTAACAATGTGCAAATAACAACTACCATAGTGCAATGCCCATACAACTGCCAGACTGATGTGCTTAATACTCATTCATAGCCTAACTCACCAGTGAGCAGATAGCAGTGGTGTGGTTTCAATATGAACAATAACAAATACAAATAACCTTTCACAAACAGGTCTTTCATAACTGCTTACAGTAAGGAAGACATTTAAACTATTATTGGCAGTCACAGCTGTTGTAAACTAAACACCACTCTCTCTGACAGAACACCTCACTGAGTGATTTAACTCATATGTCTAACTTTCAGGTTTTTCTTTTCAGCCGCAGACCCCACGTCGCCTCTTTATGTGCGTCGCTAAGTTCCTCGTACTACTTGTGTACTTTAAAGCGGCACGGCATCGTTTACAATTTGTGAGCGATTTTTCAAGTTGACCGTCTTTCTTGAAAAATCCGAAGTGTTGCCAAACGTTTGATTTGTAGGTATTTTTCGGTGCGCTGTGTTTCTCTTTCTCCTCGACTTCCATGTGTGTTGATAACTGAGACTCTCGGCCTCCGTAGTGCGAAGCAAAGATCAAAGATCGTCTCTGCGGAGTGCTGACAGGATGAGAGGATATTATATGAATGAATCGTTTTTTTACAGATGCAAAGACGCTACAATCGATGCATCGCGAGTTCAACCCAAACTGTAGCCGATGTGCACTCTTTCAACCGGTGCACTCGCATCTTGAACATTTATGCCGGTGCACCGATGCGAATCAGTGAATCTTAACATCCCTAGTCTGCAGTGATCACAAGCAGGATGATACTCTGAGGTTTCTATAAGACACGTCCTGGTGTAGAAAAACAACTCCTTTAAGGAGAAGTTGTTGCTTAACTTGCTCTTCATCCTTAGAGACTGACGTTGACTCTCAGGCACAACACGATTACACCAGTGGTTAAATGTTTTACTCGTAGAGTATTGACCTCTTCTCTCCGTTTTACTCAAGAACCTGGTACAATTGGAGTACCTATTGTGTCCACAAACACCTCCTCCATCTCTCTGAACTGGGCCCCACCTCCTGGTGAGGTGCTCCTGTACAGGGTGGAGTGGGATCATGGTGGAGCGAAGACGATCAGAGACACCAACAACACCTTTGCTGTGCTATCAGACCTGATCCCTGGCACTAGCTACAACATCTTAATCTTTGCTGTTGCCGGAGACAATCAGACAACAGGAGATCCTTACCAACTCACCATAGTCACAGGTAACCATACGTTTCATTTTTGTAATAGCTTGGTGTAGCTTTTTGGATAAGAAACTGTTCTCTGCTGTTATGAAACACTTGTGTGTAGTCTTTGTTCTTGTCATTTTCACTAGTTCTTTATTTGCCTGTCTCTAAAAAATGTTTTTCCTCACCTTGTATTTATCCTGCGCTCACAGAGCCTGAAGTAGTCAGGAATCTCTCTGTCACTGAAATCACAACATCCTCTATATCTGTGATGTGGAATGAACCAGAGGGGAACAGCTCTTCCTATAGAGTACAGTGGAGTGATGGAAATGTAAATAAAAGTGAAAACGTGATTGAAACCAATATTACCATTACTGACCTGACTGCTGGTGTCCAGTATGATATAAATGTCACTGCAGTGGCAGATGATGGCAGTACTGAAGGACAGAGTGCCACTGTTTCTCAGTACACAAGTAAGTAAACATTAACTGTGGTTCATGAAGTCAGTTAGAGAGAGTCTGCTGAAGACATCTGTTGTTGAAGACTGTCTGCAGTGATCACAAGCAGGATGATACTTGTGAATATAGAATAGAGGTTTTTGCCTAATTTGCTGTTCGTCCTTAGACTGATGTTGATCCGCACAACACGATTACACCAAGTGCTAAAGGTTTTACTCATAGAGTATTGTCCTCTCCTTTCCTTTTCCCTTTTTAACACAAGTTGTATTGCACTTAATAGCTTTGTTTAGCTTTTTGGTTAAGCAACTATGGTCTCGTGTCATGAAACACACTCGGTGTAGTTTTTTTTCTTACCACTCGCAGTCGTTTTGTATTCCCTGGCTCTAAATATTCTTCCTTCCTCACCTTGTATTCATCCTGCGCTCACAGGGCCTGAAGTAGTCAGGAATCTCTCTGTCACTGAAATCACAACATCCTCTATATCTGTGATGTGGAATAAACCAGAGGGGAACAGCTCTTCCTATAGAGTACAGTGGAGTGATGGAAATGTAACTAAAAGTGACAAAGTGAATCAAACACAAATAAACATTACTGACCTGACTGCTGGTGTCCAGTATGATATAAATGTCACTGCAGTGGCAGGTGATGGCAGTACTGAAGGACAGAGTGCCACTGTTTCTCAGTACACAAGTAAGTAAACATTAACTGTGGTTCATGAAGTCAGATAGAGTCTGCTGAAAACATCTGTTGTTGAAGACTGTCTGCAGTGATCACAAGCAGGATGATGCTCTGAGGTTTCTATAAGAGAGGTGTAGAAAAACAGGTCCTCTCAAAGGAGAAGTTTTTGCTTAACTTGCTCTTCATCCTTAGACTGACATTGACTCTCAGGCACGATTACACCAGGGGGTTAAATGTTTTACTCGTAGAGTATTGACCTCTTCTCTCCTTTTAACTCAAGAACCTGGTACAATTGGAGTACCTATTGTGTCCGCAAACACCTCCTCCATCTCTCTGAACTGGACCCCACCTCCTGGTGAGGTGCTCCTGTACAGGGTGGAGTGGGATCATGGTGGAGCAAAGACGATCAGAGACACCAACAACACATTTGCTGTGCTATCAGACCTGATCCCTGGCACTAGCTACAACATCTCAATTATTGCTGTCGCTGGAGACAATCAGACAACAGGAGATCCTTACCAACTCAACATATTCACAAGTAAACCACACCCTCCGTATTTCCCAGTTCTAATTTTTTTAATCATAATTTTCGTCAATGAAGATTTTTATCCATTTTCAGATGCCTAATCTTTCCTAATATGTTCCTTTTTCCCTGTTTTTCTTTGCACTTGCAGAACCTGCTGGTGTCGAAAATCTCTCCATCATTGCAGTCACATATTCATCTGTGTCTCTGATCTGGAAACAACCCAAGGGCAATGTGTCCTCATACTCAATTCAGTGGAATGCAATAGGAGAAACCCTAACCCTTAATAACACCACTATTGAAACCAACTTTACTATCAACAATTTAATCCCTGGAGTCCAATACAACATTCTAGTGGCTGCTGTTGCTGGAAAATCCTCAAACAAAGGAGCCGGAACCTCAATAAGTACCTTCACAAGTAGGTCCATGCCTTTTGGAGATCCCTTTTTCCTGCTACTTTTGGAAAGCGTATTTGCACTAGAATGAAGTTGATGTAAATGCAGTAATGTAGTTGTGAAATAATGAGTTATTTCTTCTTTTAGAAGACATATTCCATATCCTAACAATTTTTGGTTTACATTAATGTCATTCATATGTTTTCATGCCAGCCTCCCCTTTGGTTCCCACATTAGTAGTTAAAGCTGTTGCCTCTTTTAACATTCATCTGCTTACATATACCAAAAAGTTGATTAATTAATTATTGACACATTACCATGTACTAATAAGGAAAGTGTGTTGCTATGATATTTAACTTGATATCGCATTGGATTTGAGAGAAATATTGTTCATAAAAGGGACCATTCTAAACACTAGGTTAATAAGAAATATAGTATACAGTATTTTTATATAGTACATAGTCTATGGATTACTAAGATATATTGATCATGTTGTAATATTTGATATATTTTATTGGTCAATACATATTTCATTGGTGGTTCCTACTTTTACGCTATTTCAAATTCACTACATGACTAGATATGTGTTTCTTTCATAATGCAATGACAGGGAACTAAACTTTTTACTTGTTTATCGTACAGGGCCTGAAAAGCCTGAGAACATCAAGATTACTGCACGAGGAACCAGTAACCTGACCATCGAGTGGACTTTACCTTTAGGGAGGGCTGTTCACTATGTGGTGAACATCTCAAATGAAATATATTCTAATAGCACTACAACAGCGGGCAAAGAAGCAACCTTTACTGATTTATTCCCTGGGAGACTGTATAATATCACAGTGACCGCTGTAGCTGGAAACTTCCGCAAGACGTCTGAGCAGTCTTCATTTGCCACTGGTAAGATTATTATTATTATTGTAATAATGTTTTGCAAGTGGGTTTATTTTGTATTAAGGGTTTAAACCATCAAAACCAGTAGGACATGTATAACAACAGAAACACAAGCATTAAGTGTGTGTCTACCTGTTTTTCATTCCTCTTAGAGCCCACACCTCCTGGATCCATCATCATCAGTCAGAGGACAAACTCCTCGCTCTTTTTGAGGTGGGATACTCATGTTTTGATGGATGGAGCTCCAAGCATCAGTTATAACATATCCTATCAGCATGATGGTGGAGAGGCACTGAATAAAATCTCCTCAGACAAGCACACCGAGCTGACCTCACTTCTCTCTGGAAAGTCCTACAATATAAATGTACAAACAGTTGGACCCCAGGGTTTGAAGAGCACGGCTGTCCAAATTACTTCTTTCACCTGTAAGTATACTAGAAGTGTCTCTAAAGTTGGGACTGATTAAAGTCATGTTGTAGATTTGGCAATATTAGTAAAATAACCAATTGTTTTGTCCGGCCTCCACCTTCAGTAAGAATGTTGCTGGATATGAAATAAGATTACAGTTATTATATCACAAGTGACATAAGGTTTTTGTGATTCAATTGCTTTCTAGTGAACATTTCCTTTGTTTGTCGTTTTTCTAGTGCCCAACCCTGTGTTGAATCTTGAAGCGAGCCCTAAATCCACCACCTCAGTAAAAGTGTCATGGTCACCACCACAGGAAGCCTGGTCATATTATGAATACTTGGTTCAAGCCTACACCACTACAGGAGAACTGGTTTTCAACATAACAGTCAGCAATAACAGTGCAGATGTAACATCTCTGGAGCCAGGGAATAGATACAATATCAATGTCACGACAAGAGCAGCAGCAGGGAGTGAATCCACGGTGGAACAGACATTCAGTTACACCAGTAAGGCCTTTCATTAAAACACAATGAAGCATTAATGGATTCTGTACTATCAGAAACATCCTACAGTATATACTCAAATTGATGGTACATTTAAAATACCCCTTTTATATTGTGGATTCAAGCCTTATATAACCTTCTTCTGTATTTGCTGCAGTGCCGAAAGCAGTGTCGCTTCTCAAAGTGGAGTATGTGAACACAACGGCCATCCGGCTGACATGGCACAGACAAAGCGATCACAAGCCTACCTACTCCTACCTGGTGAAAGCGCTGCAGAACACCAGGATGGTGCAGAATTCTTCAACCAACACTGAGTCGTTCACATTCTACAATCTGAAGCCTGGAGAACTGTACACTTTTGATGTCTTTACGGTGGTAGGAGGGGTCAAGTCCACAGTGGAAAGCATATCAAGTTACACAAGTATGTGATTACAGTTACTGAAAAGTGTTTATGTATATATACAGTATATAACATTGTTGGTGGCTAAAGAGATGCATTTGCTTAATAAAAATTGAAATTAAGTTACACCATCCAAAAGAGTTATACACACTCATGTATTTACTGGTCAATGTCCCACTGGCAGACTCGTTTCTATATAATAATTGAATGTGTAATCATTTTGGACCATAACAAATTTGGACGTTTCTGGCCATCACATTAACTCCCCAGAAGTAATTCTGTCAAATTAAACTTTGTTTAAAATACACATTGTTTATTGTACAATAAATAATTGTCTTCCAATTTCTCAGTGATGACCCAACCCTATACATTCCTCTGGTCAATTTAATGTGTTCAGGCAAGGCCCAAACTTTTCTAATTGTATATTACATAACATTTACATTTTTTTTTCAGGGCCTGAAACAGTTTCTGGCATCATAGCGTTAGGAAGCACAACAACAATGTCAGTGAGCTGGACACTAGCATTTGGACAGGTGGACTCCTACACCGTCCTGCTGCAAAAAGGCGGGGAGCTGGAGAGAAACAAAACAGATCTGAGCAACGCCACTGTGTACATAGAGTTTCCGGATTTGACACCAGGAGTGCTTTACTGTGTGATTGTGGTCACCAGAAGAGGACCTTTTCAAAGCAACTTGTCTGATTGCAACGCAACTTGTGAGTTACATTGTTAATTCATAATCTGCATACTACATGTGTAATATATATGTATCTTGACCAATGTTTATTTTATAAATGCCTTAAATCAAGCAATAATTAAATAGTTTCCCTCTCTTCTTTTGTTCAGTTCCCAACCCTCCAGGCCCCATCACGGTGGTCTCTCAAACTGAGACGTCCATCAACTTCACCTGGGCCTTTCCCAACATGGACTATAATCAGTTCACCTTCAGTGTTTCCAACTTTTCGCGCTCCTCTCTCGTTACACACAACTGGTTTCTGCTGGACAAGCTCCAGTCCGGAAGCCCCTACAGTATTGCTGTTGTTACTGTGGGTGTGTTAAACTATACGAGCACTGCAGTAACAACGGAAAACTATACCAGTGAGTGCCAGGGTTATTGTTTTTATTATTTATTACTAGTATTTATTTTTCATGTGAGTTTATGTATTCACCTATTTGTACATGTTATGTTTGAGTTCTGTTTACCAGTATACATTTTCTGGTTTTGTTTATCATTTTTATTATTTTTGGAATATAGTGAGAGGGACAAGTTCTAAAAAACATATGTTTTGTATGTTTGCATGCAGTATCAGTTTAAAAAAAATTGTCAAGCTTTTTAAAATAACTATAAACTTAGTGATACTCAGTTATACTTGCTTTGTGAACATTTAACAATTTTTCTTAATCAGTATAAATTAAAAATGCCAAATATTTATAATAGTGAACACTACTACATTTCACTAGGAACTACTTTAATCTTAGTTATATCTGTCACAATAACAGTTAAAGCCCAATACATATTAAGCTATATGTGCTTAACCCAAAATCTGACATGCATAAACACATAAACCTGTTCATATCTTTTTCTCAGGACCATATTCTGTCACCAACCTGAGAGAGACAGAAATCACCACAGACTCAGTGACCCTGGAGTGGGAACAGCCAGAAGACAAAAACTACTCATATGTGGTTCAGACCAGCAATGGCTCATTCAATTCCTCTGAAACAGTCAGAAACAAACACAACCAAACAATCCATGGACTTCTCTCTGGGAGCAACTACAGCTTCACTGTAACCACACAGACAGCAGATGGCACTGAGGCAGCTCCTATGGCAGTGTCCTACTTTACACGTATGTATATGTACTGTCAAACCCAAAAATATATGAGTAAAACAACTAAAGTAAATAACAATTAAACTGTTGATGTGCTTTTTTAAAGATTTATCAGAAACACTTTCTGTTTGCAGGTCCCTACAGAATTGAGCAGTTGGAAGCTGTCACCTCAAACTCAACTGCTGTATGTCTGGTTTGGACTAAGCCACCAGAGTATAAGTCTGAATACAGGTATCGGGTCGAGTATGCAGAATTTGTCTATGAATCCAAAAACAAATCCTCCAAACAAAATGACACAGAGATCTCGGGGCTCATTGCTGGGACCAACTACACCTTCTGTGTTTTTGTCATGGCAGCAAATGGCATAGAAGGGGAAGCCAGATGCATTTCCAAGTGCACAAGTATGATCATAACAGTTTAACTTTACATAGAATAAATGAAAACACATATTTTGAAAATGATATTTGTAATAATTTGATGTTATTCTGACAATAATGTCCTATTTATGCTGCAGATGCAAGCCCGGTGAAATATTTGAGGTGTGAAGGTCCGAACACAGCAAAGGCAGAACTCATCCTGAAGTGGCACAAACCCAATGGCCAATACTCTGGCTTCAAAGTCACGTATAATGGCTATATCACCTCGACTAAAAACTGTTGTGAACATACTGTGACCAACCTTCCTCATTATACTGAATACAATCTGACAATGGAGACTCAGAGCTGTGGACTACCCAGCACTCCTCAGAATACTCAATGCCGGACAGGCATCACAAGTAAGACATTATGCTTCATTAACTAGAATTCCATAACTGTTCCATGAATTATTCAATATATATTTGATTAAAATCCTTTTTGTCCCCCCAAAGATCCATCTATTCCAGCTAACTTTACCCAACTGGTGAAGGTGGGTTCCATGTTATTCAGCACGTTCACCCTTCAGATTGACTACCGCCTGCTGGACAACACCAATGGGCCAATCACACATGTTGGGGTGCTGGTGACAAATGACCTCAAAAGTAGTAGTTTCTTCTTCATTTATTAAAAGAATACATCATGTCCAAAATGGCCAATTGTATATCAACAACTCACCTTATGTTACTTTGGATTTGTGAAGAACACTTCGTTTTCCTTGTGTTCAAGTGGGAAATCAATGAAAAAGTTTGTTTCACAGTGGATTAATGCAAGCAAACCATGTTCTCTTCCCATATGTAACATAACACAGGATGAGTAATTGAAATGTAAAATGTGTATTTAGTCCTGTAATTATGTTGCGCTTTCATCATCAATTGGTGCTAATGTGACCATTTCTGGAAGTATTTACTGCTGTTTGTCTTTATTTGTTACCATGAAACAATAAATACCACCTACTGTAATTCCTGCCCTAACAGGTGACACTAATTGGACCTGGCACTTGAGAAACACTTATAGTCAGTGGAAAGCAAAGAAGACATCTGTGTACCTGGCGACGGTCAAAGAAATCCTCTTCCAAACACGCAGTGGAGAAAGCCATTTCAACATAGCGGTGGGAGATGAATCCGATTGGAAGGGCTACACTAATGGTGCTTTGGATGCCAATGGAAAATACCAGTAAGAACACAAACAATATTGTATATGAATAGGTATGCAGGAGTACAAAGTAGTTACTCTTGATGAAACAATAGTACATTATTGGGATATTAGGAAAAGGAATTGTGAGCATTAGTATATCGATTGACTGATTTGTTCAATCCTGCAGATATGCCATTGTGTTGTTCACCCATCTGAACATGGAAAACAACCTTGTCCTAAACAGTAAATCACTGGTGGCAATAGCCCATCCCTATCCTGTTGTTATACTTCCACAGAACCCAGGTACCACATTCAGAACACGTGTTGTTATAAAATGCTCCCACGAGGTGAGAAAACACTCACTTGCCTCTTTGTTTGTCTTTTTGTTCTCATCTCTGTCAACATTTTAGCAATCATTGGCATTGCTGTCGGAGTAACATTGGGAATTTTTTGCATTCTCTTCATCATCCTAATCGGCTTCATAGTCTATTGGAAAAGGTTTGTCATTGTCCTAATTTATAAAAAAGATATTGAGTCTGTGTGTATTGGACTAAACTTTTAACTCACCACACGTGTATTACAGGGTTTCCAACAAAGAATCATCAGACATCCAGATTTTTTCCATGAGGTAAGGTTTTCATTTTTACCATGTTGTTATAAGTTTAAAGTAAATGGACAACAATTGCTTCTTTAACAGTCAACATTGCTTCTTCCTCTTTCTTATTTCAGAGCCAAAGTGTAAGTATAAATCCTTTTAAATTATTAAGTATGTTTAGATCTTTAAACTTTTCTAATTTTGACACAAAATGAAGACACAGTGGTCTGACCTCTCGTCTCCATTTGAGCAGAAGTTTGGCTGTGAGGGTGGAGGACTACGAGGCCTACTACAAGAAGCAGAAGGCCGACTCCAGCTGCGGCTTTGCTGAAGAATTTGAGGTGAAACATGAGCCTAATATATTGATTTGTTCTTTTGGTACCAGGCATGCACCCTAGTTTGAGTCGTCAAATCATCTTTCCTTATTCTTCTTTTCATCCAAAAGGACCTGAAGATGGTTGGTACAGCTCAGTTGAAATCCAATGCTGAGAGATTGGAGAACAAGCCCAAGAACCGCTACGCTAACGTGCTTCCCTGTGAGTCTCCTTAACAAATCCACCTCTGCTGTTTTCAACAATAACACTCCTCACTCTTTCAACTACATCAGAGCCTATCACCTGTATCCAGTGCTATCCACTGTCATTATCCCATTTTTAAGTGGACATAAAATCCATATAATTAGACACATATCAGTGCGGCCTACCTACATATAGCAAACGTATCTTTTCATTTACGCTCTTTTTTCACCTCCCAGATGACTCCTCTAGGGTGAAACTCTCTATCATCCATGGGAGTCCATATGATGACTACATCAATGCTAACTACATGCCGGTGCGTACTGACACTTAAAAACAGCTCTCTGCCTGAGTCATTGCTTCAGTATCAGTTAACATCCTGATCATCATTCTTCTTCTTAATGGCATGCTATCTAACTTTATCTGCAGTGATGTTTTGAGCTCTTTGAGGCTCTCAACTCAACAGGATGGACGTTTGTGTTGTGTGTGTCGGGCTGATGTTTTGTTTGACAGGGTTACAACTCTAGGAAGGAGTTTATCGCAGCTCAGGGTCCTTTGCCCGGCACAGTCAACGATTTCTGGAGGATGATCTGGGAGAAGAACGTACGGAGTCTGGTCATGCTGACACGCTGTAATGAACAGGGACGAGTGAGTTTGAACACAAGCACAACGCCGCGAAGCAACGAGAATGTTAAAACTAAAACATGCAGTAGATATGATTTGCATATTTTAGTAATATAATTATAAGGTTTTAAACTTAAAATGTATATTGATTGTTAATATTGTGTTTTCCTGTTCCAGGTCAAATGCGAGCAATATTGGGCTCAGGGCACCAAGCACTTTGAAAACATCACTGTGACAACAACCTCTGAAATAGCACTTGAAGACTGGACCATCAGGGACTTTGACATTAAAAATGTAAGTCGTGAGATGTTAAATATTCCAAATATATATATTTTTAGGAGGGTCAAATTCAAACAATCTTTGTCGTTGAATCATCACCCATCAGGGCTGTTTCCCCACCTTTAGTTTGGAATACTTGTATATCACTTCTATGAATGAACAAACAACACTCTACTGAACACTTTTAAATGAATGAGTCTGAAGGCACAAGTTCTGTGCTCCAGTTACATTCTGAGGCAGGGCCTTATAATTGTGAAAAGGCCATTCTCTGCATCACAGCCAGTCAGCCAGTCGCAACCATTTTGGGTTTGTTTTTCCTGTAGGTAAAAACAGCAGAGACCCGTTCAGTGCGTCACTTCCACTTCACAGCCTGGCCAGATCACGGCGTACCGCAAACCACTGAGCTCCTCATCAGCTTCAGACACTTGGTCAGAGAACACATGGACCAATTCTCCAGGCACTCTCCCACTGTGGTCCACTGCAGGTCCGACTTAACACACAAACTCAATTTAATTCTGCACAATTGAAATGACAAAAAGATCTGATATTTGTCTGTCTTTTCTCTTTCCCTCTACTTTGTGTCTTTGTTTTCTACATTCAGTGCTGGTGTCGGAAGAACTGGCACCTTCATAGCCATCGACCATTTGATGTTCCAGATTGAAAGGGAAAATATTGTGGACGTTTTCGGCATCGTCTATGATCTCCGCATGCACCGACCCCTTATGGTGCAGACAGAGGTAAGACAAAGTCTCACAGTTTTATTTGTTTTTGTTTCACGGTGCATGTTGTTTGAAATATATGTAAAGTATACGAAGTGTGCCGTATTTCAGTCTTTTTTAAATTGGATGTCTCTGCAGGACCAGTATGTGTTCTTAAACCAGTGTGCCATCGACATCATCAGATCAAGAACTGGAACCAATGTGGATCTAATCTACCAAAACGCTGCTGCACTCTCTATTTATGAGAATGTAGAACCAAAAAAAGGTTTCTCCAAAAGCGAGTACAACAATGCATAAACCCGAGAAAACCACTCAGGTCCTCCTATATTCTCTCAAGCTTTAAAAAATCTGCAGGCTTTTGCAAAGGGAACATTTTTAACAAATTGGTTAAACATTTTTAACACATTTTTAACAAAATGCATTTCTATTTTTATTCTTGCCAGGCTTTTGATAAGTATCTTATATCTTTTTAGATTCAACCCTCTATTTTGTGGTATTTATTTGTTGCAAATGTTGAATGATTGAAAATAGAGGGAGCTGCATATGGAGATACAATAGGGGACATAATCACTGACCAAAACGAAATTGGATTATAATGTAAATTTGTATTGCTCAGTCTTTCTTTACATTTCTGCTTGTTTACTACTGTATATGACTAACTGATTATACAATGTTCTTCTCAGGTAATATATTGTATGCTGTATAGGTATTATTACAGTTTTTGCCAGGAACACTTGTATTATTGGAACTTTGTATTGCCTTGTACGAAGAATTGCTGGTTTGAATAATATGCGCCTTTTCAAAGCCTGTATGCTTTGGTGCCAGTAGGTGGCACTCCATTGTATTGTGTTAAACTGAAAGAGACCAACAGGGACTGATAAGATATTACTTTGTTAAAGTAACCTTTAGGTTAAGATAAACAATATATCATATTTTATAGAAGTATCAGGTTATCCAGCAAATTATTTTAGCTTGCCTTATTCCAATTTAAACTGTGCAATGCCTTTTAATGAAGGAATGTTGTATGTTCAATGTAAAGACTTTTCTTTGTGTATGCACTGTAGTTAGTAATGCACTGGATGCATTAGTCTTTTGTACACTGTCGAATTTACAAATTATAAAGATGTATTTATCCGTTATCAGTCTCATTGATAACATTTTGGCCAGTTGTTTGTGAAACATTCATTCGCCCCACATTTGATTGTTGCAATTTGACTTTGATTTTTGTTTTCTTCATCTGATCAGAATAGGTTTGCATTAAAAAAGCGCTCAGGAGAATTTTGCTGGGGTGGTATGGTGTGAGAAAATCCATACTGCCACAGTTTGTAGTTTAAATAATTTAGAAGTCATCGTACTGATTTTGTTTTGTTAATGACATTCTTCTCTGTACATTCCTCAAAGAAACAACCATGTTATGTCACTTCCTGCTGTATATCCGGCCTGTCTATGGCCATTTCCTGTGATTTAAAAATCACCATAGGAGTTTTGTTTTTAGCTTTTAAAGGGCAGCATTTGCTATTAGGCAGGTACATTGGTGTGTGGGGTCAGCTTTATGATATTTTTTAGAATTAAATGTTTCATTCGTATTGTATTATAATGTACTTAATGTTTAAAAGCACTTAATGAAAAAAGAATAGCAAATAGTTTCATAATTGTAGCAATGTTTTTGGAATGCTTTATAAAATGCTTGCTGGTACAATGCAAATAAATGTAAAAAAAGCAATGATTTAATATTTGTAAACATATCAATAAAAAATGAACCAAAATGGGTTAATCTATGTTATTACATTCCAACATATATGGCTATGTGTCTGCATGGTTATATTTCATCACAAGGAACAAGCTTTTTACACTAAGTTCTAATTTTGCAGCTCACATCAGGCGTACACTCGGGAGATTCTCTGCAATATGGAGGTGTTTTAACCCTTATGTTGTGTTCGGGTCTCTAGTTTTTTTTTAACCTGTTAAGCCCGAGAGACCCCGGTACCGGGGCACTGCCGCAACATCTTGCAGGAAACAGTGTCTGAGGGCATGTTCATTTAATAAACTATGAATGTTGTATATCCATGTAACGGGAAGGAACTCATCTGACTGATAATTTTTATTTATTTTTCAAAAGAAAACCCACAATGCTAACACTGAGCCTCTGAATTAGCAACGAGCGAAAAATGCTAATAGATTACTGCACCGAAAATCTCTCACAAAACCTTATTATTTATCTTTTCTCCACATCCATGACATCGATTCACATCGTGAGGTGACACAGAATAGATGGGTACCCTCATTATCACTGAATTATACGGATTCGCGACGTTATAAACAAAAACAGACATCAAAACAGGTGACGCTAGGTAGCTAAAAATGCTAACAAGGTTACCTTGGCTCTGTAGTCTCTCCAAAGTGGTCTTCAATGGCATTAAAACGATAAAAACGCTGCTGAAGTTAATCCATAGGTTAATCCAATGTGTCTGTGTCCCTTTGAAATGATTTCTGATAATCCATGATCAATAAAACGGATAATCCATGCTATTCCGTTTCTAGATGTCAGAGCTAGAATGTAGCTTCACTCTAATGCAAAATTACATGCGCAAAGCCCCCACCTTTTTGTTTCACAATGAGTGTGTGTGGGGGACTCCCCCTTCGATTATATTGGCTCTAACGGTCAGAAAGAGGTGTCAACCATCAAAATCGACCAATGGGTTACAGAGATATGAAGAAAAAAAACATTTACACCCAAATCACCTCAGAGGTGGAGTGTTTTTGGCTAAACCTCTCTAAAAAGGTCAAATGTCACTTGTTTTGCATCAATCTTGATACAGGGTACTTATTATATGTTGTACTTTGGATTCCTAAAGCTTTTAGTCTACCTTACCATCATCCAAGGGTAGTTCTCACTATGTAAAATCTGAATTTTCTTTAAAATAAAAAACATCTATATTGATTCTGACTTTTCTACATCCAACTCACAGGTTTATCATTACTTTGAGAAAAAAGATTATTAATTTAACTCTTTTAGAAGGGAAGATATGGTAATTTGTTCTGGGAATGTCATTTTCGAGCCTGAGACCTGAAAAACAAGCTCAGGGCTTAACGGAACAAGGCTTCATGATATCCTCCACAACAGCTATATAAAAACTACAAAACAGATTTTGACAATTTTAGCCAAGTCTGAAGGTCTCAAAAAAGACCCAGCAGAATTGTTTTGAGTGACTCGAGGTCAAATTTGGCCCAATCAAGATTCATCTTTGACTTTAGACACCCCACCCCCACCCCCTTCATCCACTGTTACAATAATTAAAACTTTTTTGGGGGGAGATTGTATTCTAATATTAGTCTATTATCGTCAGATAACGTAATGATCCACTGTCTTCACTATAGGAAATATCATGAGTGAATTGAATCACATGTTTTACTTAAATATGTGGTGTAATGTTTTTTCGGGCCATAAAATAAAATAACAACAGGATTGTACGGTTATGAATGCATAATAAGTTAGTTATGATGTAGTTAAAACAATATTGGATGATAGTCATTATTTTTGAGTGTTTTGGACTGAGATAAATCATGGATCAAAATTGACCCGCGAACACCATGAACGGTAACAGCTTTCGAACACAACACAAGGGTTAAGGGCAATCACTTTCACACAGAGGGCACCCCCGGCATGGTGGTAATGTAAGATTTTGACAGAGGGTCGGCTTCAATGAGCCTGATATTTCTAATTCATGATCCTTGTACCATGTCTCTCAGATCCACATGTAAGATCTAAAAATAGATGTGGCATTTGAATGGCTTCTATTCTCCTATGCTGTGTGTTGCAATAAAAGGTATACAGACAGATGAAGCGGTTATGACAGCAATACAACCGGGGAATACAACATCCAATAGGACAAGATAACTGGGGGGTCCAAAATGAATAATGAGCTTAAATGTTTTTGTGCCAGACAGTAAATCCACCATATTGGATTACAACAGCTTCCGATTGAGGCGTTAATAGTTTATGTTGTTGTCGCTTTCTTTAAAAACACACAATCACACAGATGAAGAAGGTCTTTTCTTGAGACTACATGTTGTAAATGCTTGCGATTTCCCTTTGAATAATAAGGGTAACATTTATTATAATATTTAAGTATGTATGAGGAGGTTTTGGCTTGGCGTGGTAGGTACACAGTACATAGTATAATTTTAGGGAAATTGTGTTTTTTAAGTATGTCAACTCACGGTACACTTAAAATGCTCCTTTCCAGAAAAAATATTGCTCTGATCACACACTTCATATGTCTGACAGTTATAGTTGGTAAATTCTTAGAAAATATATATTTTTAATTTAAAACATGATCAGCTAATAAAGTGTCATGCATTATTGTAAAAAACCGAATCACCAGAATTTAATTTAATTTAGCCGACATTGTTTCCAAAAATTACATTACAGTGAAATGCTTTAATATAAATAACGGTTAACATTATTATGCTAGTTATGTAAATTAATTAGTAATGATAATCATATAACATTACAACACTGGCAGTATGCTGTCTAATGGGTATGTAAAATGTTAATACTTTACCTTAGGAAGAAGAAGAAAAGAAAGAGAAGAAATGTTGCTGATAATACTTAATAATACTTAATTTGAATCATTTTTACTTGTAATGTAGGCTAGTATGTTTATATTGTTCTTGCTACATTTAATGAAGATACCAATCTCAGTACTTGTAGCCTACCATTGTTAAATACACTGGACAAAATGAAGTTAGGGCTCTATTTTTAAATTAATCTCATAAACTATAATCTTGACACGTTGCAATGCTATACAAAATCTCAACAAAGGGGCTTTAATACTTCATAGGTGATAATGAAAATGTATGGAAATTATGCTCTTGCAGGTCACATAACGCCATAGAGTAGCCTACATGGTTGATATCTACAGCACCGTGCAGCAGGTGTTGTGCGCCGCTGCGGCCACAGGTGTCGCCAGGGCTGCCTGAGCAGCGGCAGCAGCAGCAGCCAGATGAACCGCAGCAGGAGGATCCAGTCCACTCCACACTCTCCATGTTGAAACTTCTCCTCCAGCCGACTCCTACCGTCCGCCACAGCCCGCCCGCTGTTCCCCTCAACCCGGCTATCTCACACAGTCCCGTGCTATGACGCTGGTTTGGGAAGGAAGCTCGGAAACAACTGTATGATCGCCTCGCTGGTCGACACAGAGTAAGTTTAACATTTAGCTGCTATATTCCTACAGCACACCGACGCGTCGAGAAAGATAACTTGCTATTTTTAGCGCACGGTACTTGTATTATTTAACGTATGTTTTATGTGCTAACTTGCGCTAGCTAGCGGAGCTCTGATAGCATGAACTGGAAGAATAAGGAGGATTTGCTTCTTCCGGACGGTGGTTTTGAGGGTCATAACGTCGACATTTTTGAGGAATTTGGTCAGTGTTGGTAGTAACGTTTTCGGGGTCTGTGTTGTGTCCGGCTGGCGGGGTAGGGGGCTAACGTTACATGCTAGCTGCATAAAGTAAACCCTCATCACCACTCCATTAGCACACCGTGCCCCATGCGGCTGCATCTTGGCTGTCACTTGTTTACATGGCAACCATGAACCTAGCCCAGGTGTAGGGTGACGAGCAAGGGGAAGCACATCTGTATTATTTCCTAGTATGTATTCGTTTTACCTTACTGCTGCTTCAAGTAACGGTGAACTGAATTGGTAAATGAAACCAATCGAAAATGGATAAAGTGACCCTGTATTAGACGGCATGTGGCAGGGAAACCACCGGAGGAATAACCCTTAGGATGAATGCTACTTCCAAACAACCTCCATTACTCAACGGAACACTCAGTACATCTTCGTGATGTCATGCAGGGCGCGACGTGTAGCATGCAGCATGTAGCGCTGAGACATAATGCAGTGTGCACAGGATTCAAAGCAGAGGGTTGTGAGGCTGGTAGACATTTAAATGTCAAATGCCGGTATATGCACTGCAGCCAAGGAAGTCTTTAGCAAACATTCAAATGTAATGTTTCTGATGGGATGCCAAAGCTGTACCCTTTGACGTGTTCACTACCAGCCCATTTATGACTGTTCTTCCCAAATTAATATTTAATACATGAGTGTATATTGAGTTTCTGTGATAGATTATACACATTTAAGCTATTACAGCCTTTATATTATGAATCTGACTTGAACAAAGGGGTGATTATACTCTGTCTAGATCGATATATGGATGTAATGATGAACAATCTAATACTATTGATGGAAATTGAAAATATCAATACATATCATCTTTAGGATGCACCTTTTATTTTGAAATTCCCATTGCAGTCTCTACCATTTCCTATCAAGCACACTTCCTTCCTTCAAATCCTATTTTAGTTGATAAAATGGTACTGATATAGTGTTATATGTTCTTATGATATTTTCATATCAATCGAAGGCCCCTAAAATCTAATCTGATGGAATTTGTATTGTGGCGGACTTTGTAATATCATCAAATATGACGAATATGACCAAATATCCTGCTCACTTAGTACAAAGCTAAGTCACAAATAATAATACAAAGAAATGTGTTTATATTTTATGTTTATGAAAAAAACAAACAAGCAACCAAGATGTCATCAGATTCTCACTCTGAAATGCTCACATTACTGTTAAATTTAATAATCCAGTATGGGTGGGGCGATACTATTTGATCTTGATAAGATGAGATAATGACTAAATGTGGAGATTTACCAGTGCTACATCGCCTCATCCATCTCTGTCTATTCCCAG